TCCTTGAGGAATACAAACTTCTAACGAGAAAATATTTCCAGATTGTTAAGGCCATCCGTTTGTGCCTATGGACGTTCCTTGCCAAATTTTAAATTGTTCGAATATTTCAGAACGATAAATACTTGTATTGCATATTCTTAAGATTGTAAATTTGGAAAGTCTAGTATAATCTAGTAATCATTAATTTTATTCTCAAAAATCATTTACGATTACGAAAATAAAACGATATAATCTGTGTGTTTCTACATACAGTCATAAATGAGCAAATGTGTGGAACACATCGATGCATTAAGATGTTGAAAAATTAACATATCTATGCACTAGCACTAGAGCGTTTGTGTATCCGTAAAAAAAAACTTTCCAAAATGAGAAAATCTGACTTTTCTGTATCAATAGAAATTAGTTTTCAAACTTGTTTCACTCATTAAATATTTCAAAATTCTTCTCATAGATAAATGGCTGCAACGTAAAACAATGATCGTTTTGTTCGGTAGGGACCATAAGCGTGTATATACATATATGCAGTGAATTATTCGTGTTCTTTAGTAAAAACTAATAACAGTAATAATTTCATAGTCGATAACTCTTTATTGCTTATTCTACAAAGAAATCCAAGAACTTTGAATCTGTAATATATCTTTTACATTTTACAATTCATTTCTGTATAAATATTCACATCACCATCTTCTGCTTTAAAACTTATATTACTTCCTGACTGTAGGTAGTTAATAACCATTGTTAATTTACGGTCAGTACCATTACTTTTATTTGTAATCGAATTTTCTCATATTATTATTTGACTTTTATTGTGCCATAAATTCAGACAAATTTCGTCACGATCTCGATTGTATTTGTAAATGAACCCCCTTGATCAGATTCTTTTCTGACGTTATGGCTACTCATACTGGCAGACATTCAAATAGCAAATCGCATTGCTTTTTCTATCAGGTTGAAGGAGAGTGCAGCGAAAAACATATTAGTTTTCATGATGTTCAATCAAAGAGATTTGACAAAAAACTGTTTCCAAAAGCTACTTCTCTATTATCTGTGTTGTTTCTGAAAGCTGATTGCTTTTATCCATCAAAAGTTAATTTGTCTTCCTCATATGTATGCTCTTTACATTTCGAGTTTCTATCTAAATCTCACAAAACGAATTCTTCAAAAAAGTGCGTGAGCTGTGAATGTTTCGGCAAAAAATCTACTAAAACAGCCAAGTTTAGGAACATTAATGCCACTCAGGCACTGGTTCTACATGAGAAATTCAGTATAAATAATTCATATGGAGAACTAATTTGTAGCACTTGCCGTATCACTAGTCTACCTCGTCATGTTGATCACACTCGTGAAGGACAACATCGCAAAGCTTTTGAATGGCTGAATGATTTGGATGACGCAAATCTATATGATGCATCAGAAAGTGATGCTGAGGAAGATTTCCACGTACCTCATCATGCGTTGTTTGATAATGACGAAGAAAAAAAAATTGTTTGCGAAAAAAGAAGGAAGCTTTTGAATCAGTTGTTAAGCGAGTGCGGTAGTAATAAAAAGGCTTGGGTTACTTCTAGTTATAAAAGTATGACAGGACAAGTAAAAGCAAATTATTTATCATCTGTAAGATCAATTCTAAAGACTGTTACAATAGCATTAGCTGCTGATGAGTTCGAAGAGGTATTTCAAGATGCAGTGGATATTTCAACTGAAAAAGAAAAAATAGTAGTCGATGGTAAGTTTTTGAAAGTTATGACTGGAATAAAAGAAGCTTATGAAAATGCAGAGAACCCAATAACTAGAAAAGAAATTTTGTCTATTGTGGCTCCTAGGATAAGCTTTAAACTGATTCAAGGTTTTATAAAAGGACTAACGCCATATAGATTTACTGAAGCTCGTTTTTATGCTGCCGATACAGGAGTAGGGGTAATTCTAGAACCACCTCGTAGAGTTTCTCAACGTTTTTCTTTTAAACAAGTCGACCATTTCATTGACTTTATTGTTAGCCCCCATATCTGTACTGATATACCTTTCGGTGAAAATCGCCTAAAGTTATCTGACGGAACTATTCTGTTTGTACCTAATACGATTCGTAATATGGCTCCTTCGACAATAATAAACCAATACTTTGCTTTCTGTGAAGAAAATGCTCCCGGATTTTCTCCCTTGCACTCTAGGTCGCTATTTAAAATTTTAGAAATCTGCAAAGCTTCTTATCGAAAATCCTTGCAAGGGCTAAATTACTTTGCTGCAGACGGTGGCGAAGCTTTTGACTCACTGCATACAATCGTTGAAAAGCTAAATTTAAGTAGCGACGTGACAAAACGTCTATGTGATAACTTAAAGAGAGGTCGTCAATATTTGAAATCTGACTTCAAAACTCATATATGGAAGTCTAGTTCTATCGCTGATCATTGTGCCACATACGCACTAAGTGACGCAAAAATTAGCAGTTGTAGAGAAATTTGTGATCATTTGCATGACGCTTACTGTATAGAATGTGAGACTTTGAGCAGCACCTTGAATGATATAGAAAATTACATAAAAGAGCAGTCGACGGACCAGGAAGTTACCGAACGTTCTTTAACTATATTTCATGCTCATAAAGATTCAATTCACAATTGGAAGTGTCATCTACTTCGTTCAGTGAATCAAGATATGAGCAGAGAATATCTTTTAAATTCTTTATCAGATAACACAGTTTATATTTACCTCGACTGGGCCATGAAATGGCTTCCTATAAAATATAGGGAACCACAATCATTTTTCTTCGGCAAAAGGGGACTATCGTGGCATATTGCTGTCGTCATTAAGAAATCTCAGCTTGAATCCATAGACACCTCAACAGAGAGCTGTAGTGAAAATGAATGTTCTAGCGATGAAAAAAATTCAAATTGTTCTAAACCTATTTTTTCTCAAAAAGTTTTTGTTCATGTTTTCGATAGTTGTTCTCAAGACTCCAGTACTGTTTCATGCATTATTGAAGATTTATTAAAAGATATTCATTCATCCGATCCCACGATTACAAAAGCATTTCTTAGAAGCGATAACGCGGGATGTTATCATAGCGCTGAAACTTTACTTTCATTACCATATATGGCTAAGAAAACTGGGATAGAGATCCTCCGTTTTGACTTTTCTGATCCACAGGGCGGAAAATCACCATGTGATAGATTTTCAGCTGTATTGAAATCAAATGTAAGAAGGGATGTCAATGAGAAAACCGATGTAGTAGATGCATCTCAATTTGTTAATGCCTGCCGTTCAAATGGAGGCGTGAACGGTGTAAAAGTTACTGAATGTTGGTTGCCTGTAGAATCCGACACTAATGTTCTATTCAGATTTCCCGGTATTACCAATTACAGCAACTTCAAGTTTGAAAAAGACGGAATCTTAGTACACCGTTCTTTGAATGTAGGACCTGGTAAATTTTTTCCATTTAAAGATCTAAAGTTTGGTGAGAAAAATAATAAGTTACATTGCGAGAAACAGCTCGACTTTGTACATGAATGGTCCGAGAAAAAGAAAGTCTTATTGACATCAACCAAAGCAGCTAATACGAGTATATCGAACAATAATGAGAAACAGCCGAAGCTGAAATCCTCTGCTTTATTCGAATGTAACGAAGAAGGCTGCATCAAAAAATTTCTAAAATATAATAATCTAATTTATCATCTAGCTACTGGCAATCATGTCCGCAAATCCGAAAGACATCTTTTGAATGACACTGCGATGCAATTCTATCAATCTAAGTTAGAACATATCGGAAATCAGGAAATGATTTCTTTAATGCTTGAAAATTCAAACATTGAAAATGCCATCAGATCTAAAGACAAATATGAAACAACTTTAAGAGAAGGGTGGGCTTTACTAAAAGCAAGAAAAAATGTACGATTGAGCGTAAAACAAATTGATTTTTTGAAAAAAAAATTCGATCAAGGTATTCGAACGTCTACTCGTTGTAAACCTGAAGTACTCGTGATGCAAATGCACGAATTAAAAGTGAACGGAAAATTTTACTTTACAGTTTCAGAATTTCTAACTGCAAGTCAAATCAGGTCCTTTTTTTCTCGTGAGAAAGCTAAACGTCAGAAACTTTATCTGAGTGAAATTGATATGGATGGTCAAGAAGATGAATCTTTTCAAGATGAACTTGCACTAGAAGAGATTTTAGATCAAGAAGCTTTGCGTCAAATTTGTACTAAAGTATCTGATGAAGAGGAGCAGACAGAAAATACTGTGCAACTAACTAGGGGTGTCAAACATAATGCTTCACAACATGATTTATCGGACAAAAAACGTTCTTCTTTCAAGAAAAAAAGCGTATAACAAGAAACAGTTGCATCCCTTTTGGGAGACTTCGTAGAATTAGTTATCATAAAGCATGGTAAACATCTGATGAGCCCGCCTCTCCATCAGGGCCGACTCATCTTGCCGTTCATGATGATTACTCCTACGAATTGTGCCAAATAAATCAGTGCCATTATTTCTTTTCTGTGATGTAGTTTTAATAATTACTTTTATTTCTATCTATTTCTGTTTCTTTTAGATATTTCTCTTTCTCATTATTATATTTCTGTTTTCAAATAATTTCCTTATTTTTGTACTTTTATTCCATTCAACAAGGGAGGACAATTTATGAAAATAAGTTCAAAGATTAACTTTCCAATAGCAACTTTCAAAAATTAGAAAGATATAAATTAAAAAACAAATAAAAAAACCTTTTCTAGAAGGATGGCCGTCACGTGGCGAAAAGGGAACAACGCTTTTTAGTCTTCATCTAGAAAAAATTGAATATTTTTCGATATATTTTTTTTCTTAAGAGATTGAAAAGTGGCCAACAGTCCTTCATTTCAGATATATAACCTTTAGATTGTATTTGGCATATTCAAAAAGTTTAATTTTCGGAAGGAAGACTAGAAAATTCACTTTTAGATGATTATAGATCATCGGGATTACCCCAAATATGATCGAGAAATATATGATTCATTGCAACATTCGTTGCTGATCGTTGTTCAGCAGATTTTTTTGCTATAAAAATGAAATTAGAGTGAGTAAAAATGGATTATTTTTCTAAAGTTAGAGAAGGTGAAAATTGTTAGATGGTGAAAATGTTTCAAACGTCTCCACTATTCTTCCCCATTTTAAACTTTGTGACCTAGTGCATTTTGTATAGAATTGAATGCTCTACAAAATTGAGTAATAAAATTCGTGGAGAATATTAAAGCGAAAAAAAAAAGTTAAAAATACTACGATTTTTTCCTAGTAAAAAAAAAGTTTTTTTTCAAAACATTGATTTTTTTTTCTAAAAACTATTTTTGTTTCAAACTATGAGATATATCGTTCGATGCAGCTTTTTACGCTCTTTCGAATGAGACATTCCCGCACTTTGTACGATGTAATTTGACTGGGGAAAATGGAAAATACTGAAGTTTCATTTTTTTCAGCAATTTTCGACGGTGCTTCAATTGAAATGCCTATAACTCGGTGAAGGTAAGGCATAGAAGCATAAAAAAAATTTCGTCAGCCCAGTTTTTCACGTAGAATCGAACGAAATAAAAAAAAGTGGGTGTTAGGAAAAATCATGTTATGGTCTATAAGGCGGATGCTCGATATTCTCATGCATACTCTCTTAAGCATTATTTGTATTAGAATTAATAAATGCCTAGGTGTTAATAGTAGTTTGGTATCATTTTTAGTCCTAATACATACAGTGCCTGTGATTACTTGTGTGCTGCTTAGCGACCAAAAAATGCTTTTTGTAAGTTTTTAAGGGCTACCAGAAGGTACTCTTGGTACTTTTTCAAGATAACGATGCGGACATAAAACTTCTCCTTGTATCCACATCCTAGTTCGGTACATTAATGTAGTAAACTTAAATGGAAATCCAAACTCAATATCGAAACACAAACTTACTACACCAATATGATTTTATTTTTTCTGATGCTTACCCCGATAATTTCGCTACGATACACTGCTAATGGTATGCGAATTTAAGCAAGCGATATAAGTGCTGAAGCACAAAATATTTGCCGTTCGACTTAAGCATCGTTTTCTCCTGTTATAAAAGGATGTGGGTGTGGGTATGAATGTCATCTACATCCACCCACACCCAGCTACACCCAGCCACACCCACACTCACACGCACACCTGCCACCCATCCACACCTGCCACCCACCCACACCAACACTCACACCCAAACCCGCCACCAAGACACACCCACACCCACACCCACACCCACACACCCACACCCACACCCACACCCACAAAACCATTAGGATTTAGTCGAAAACCCTTGGGGTTTCGTACCAAAGATAATGGTTTTGTACTGAACCCCGAAGGTTTCGTATTTTCTCACGGAACCTTTTTTTGCTGTACAGAACCTAAAAAAAGGTTCTGTAAGAGATGGTTCTGCT